GTTAGCATGAAAAGTTTAGCTGAATTGACTGTTTAGCATGCAGTTTTGGAAAACGACTGAACTTTCGTAACTAATGTAACCGGCCCTACTTGGCGGAGAAAACTTCTGAAGTCACCTTAAACCTTTACAAGGTAATTTGGTTATACCAACTAAGTTGAAATTGTAAATTGGCCACCACAAAGAATTAAAAAGCTGACGTTTGGTGCGTTAGCCCTTCGTCAGAGCCAAAGACGGTATAACCAGATTACCTTGTTACCCCCACTGATGCAGCTCCACAGTTTCTTCAGAAACTTACCCCCTTCAAACCTTTACACCCTAACATCAGTATGCATCTTCTCCATACTGTTCTCTTTACAATTCCTGAGCTACTGACAAGGAGAATTTGTTTAACAATCAAGAGCTGTGTTAGTTAATGATCATTTCCTTGATTCAGGGTTGCTATTGCAAGGAGAAATTAATTGCTAGTCACCCCTGGGGCAAAGGGTAAAGAAGTAAAAGCATAGTAGGCACTATTATAATAGTATAGTCTGATTATACACTCACCTTTTCCAACAGGTTTCTTAAATTTTCATCATCAAAAGGAAGCGCTCCCTGAGAAGAAGAAGAAGACGAAGAAGAAGAAGAAGAACACAAGACATAAGAGAAAACCTTCTCATTTAGTTTTCTTAGTATCTAAGCATGTATGCTTGTATGCTTTCTGCCAAGGATATGATTTTCCAGTTTCCAAATTTAAGGTGAAGTATGTTTAGGTGGGTTACCAGGCACTGTCAGAGCATAAACTTGTTGAAGGAAGACAAGCAGGCAGTAAACTGGGTGAGTATAGCCACTATGATCTCTATCAGAGGGAGGAGGATGGAGGAGGGGGGGGTGGGGGAGACAAGAGAATGAAGGAAATAGGAGTGTTTATCTCACAAGCAGTGTAAGAGAGTGCTTTTTGCAAATTGTTGCAAAGCAAAAACTAAAGTGATTGAAACAGCCAATCAGAAGATGGGATAACATTACAAGGAGCCAATCAGAAAGCAAAGTAAAATAAAGCACAATGCTGACAATGAATTAGTTTTGATTCTAAGAGGATGGCACAAGTTTTCTGGAACAAGCACATAGCAAAGGAAAGAAAAACTAGAGAAATCCGGGATTACTCTAAACACTCTTTTGGAAATTTCTTGAATCGAATAGATTGTGCTTTTAGCAAGGTGTTAACTTACAACAAGCAGAGCATAGAGGATAACACCACAGCTCCAAACATCTGCTTTTCGACCATCATATTTTTCTCCCTAAAATACAAATCACTTCACAAAATTACATCAAATGCAGATTGAAAAATGAACAGTTTACAACAATTATACAAGACATACTATAAAGGTTTTGGATGGTACATACCCGAATGACTTCTGGGCAAGCATAATGTGGAGACCTGGCAGAAGAGGAAAAAAAAAAAAAGAGGAAAAAATCACAAAATGAAAAGTTGAAGTTTTCTAGCATGCACCTAAAGCATTTGTATTACCATAATACAGCAGACAAGTGTTATAAAGCAGAGACAAATGCAGCATACCCACAGCTGGTCTCGAGCATGGCATTATCTCCAACCTGGCAATAAAGTGACACCAAATATTATTACAACTATTGAATGTAAGTTGGAGCTTTGTATGGCATTACTTTAATGATTTGTTTTTCCCAAAGGATCAGTCTGAGCCACACTTTTTTGACTTGAACTTGTTTTTTTTTTTTTAAATACTCCTTACAGTAACTCTTGCTGCACAGGAGTAGGGACAGGCCACATTAACTTTCACCCCCACCCCCCCTTGCAATAAACAGAAGGAATGGCAGTATTCCCTTGGCCCAGCCACTGACAGTTCCGGGCTGCACAACCCTTTGAAGGGTTAATTTGCTTGCACATAAAGGAAAAGTAGTAACACACTAACTGTAGATTACAATTGAAAATTGGTGGGCTCAAAGATTTAACCTCTTTTTTTGCTTAACATACACATTTTCCCTTAAAAAAAGTACTGCAATTACCAAGACACTTAGAAAATAAACAAAATTATAAATATAAATTTGTCAAAATAATTTAGAACTAATGCACACACACACATGTTCATTCAAGTACCTGTAAAGATGCCATTCCAAAGTCTGCAACTTTTATATTCATCTTTTTATCGAGAAGAAGGTTCTCAGGCTTCAAATCTCTGTGGCTAAAATATACAACTTGAAATTAGCAAGCAAAAGCCAAACGTCTGACTATTAAGAGTACACCTCTTCAGGAACATGATATAAAAACTTAACTTAGGAAATAACCAAAGACAAATGATTACAAATTAATTTAAGCCTGTAAAAAAAACCATTGCCCACATTTACATTAAAACTTGATGGCAATATCATGGGGAAAATCAAAACTAAACACGAGTTACATACACCATTAAAAGCAACACTATAGAAGTTTTCATGTGTGTTTTAATCAGCTTTTTATTCTGTTCCCACACACAGTGCTTTCTTTCACCAAGACTACAATTAGCAAGAACACAAAAAGGAGTCAGGAAACCATGAACACTAGGAGAAATTTCTGGAGTGCTATATTGTGTTGAGAGGATCGGACCAGAATCAGAACAAATTTCAAGTCTAAATGGTTTTCTGAGATTGACAGTAAGGCATGGTCAGTGCAAAAGTAAATTTGAAACATGCACTCACCAAACACAATGCTTGTGGCAAAAATCAACAGCCGAGATCATCTGAGCAAAAAATCGTCTTGCCTACATAGGAGAAAGGAATGAAAAAAACTCCTTGAGAATTCTTTGTCCAGAAGCAAATATCAAACTTTACACATTAATTACTTTAAATACCCTACAGTAATGTAGGTTAAAATTTCAGTAAAAATTGAAACTTGTAGTTGGACAAAAATTATTTAAACATATTACCTCTCCCAAAGGAAGCCTTCCTCTCTTAACCAGGTAGTCAAAAAGCTCACCACCAGATACATGTTCTAATACTAAAAATCTAAAACACAAAGAGCGAGATACATTTGGGTTAAACCCTTCCTACCCCAATATCAGAATGCTTAGTTTCTCCATACTGCTCTCTATAAAATTATTTTTTTAAGTGCTGACAAGGAGAATTTTTTCACCAATCAAGAGGTTCTTTAGTTGGTGATTATTTCCTTTATTCTCATGACGTGATTTGGGGATGATATTGTAGGGAGAAATTAGATGCTAGTCACTCTAAGGAATTAAAGGTGTTGGTCAGTGGTCTCTCTCCATTTTATATGTTGAACTCTGTGATCCGCCATCTTGAATAAAAGGGAAGTTCGTGGCGAAGTTGATAGTGTTGTATTGTTCAATTATCCTGACAACTAAGGGTTAAATGATGAAAAACGGAAGAAATTCAAATCCTTACAAGCAGTGTCATAATGACAGCTGAAGTCAGTAACTTGTGATAAAGTAACAGTCAAGTACAGTATCAACTCTTGATGGTAGCAAAAACCACACCACTGAGTTTCCATTATGATTGTACATCTCAAGCAAGACACTGACTGACTGTCTTTCTACTAGGTTGACTATCATCAATTATAACCCACCCATTAATTTTGGCACAGTTTTATTGGTTACTTTACATCATATGCTGCAAAATCATAGGACAGTTATCATGCAATAACCCCCATCAGCGTCGATATTTGTCCTCCAATTTTTTCCGTGAAAAAGAAACATAGTCAACACAAGAGTTTCAACTTTTCCATTCTCCTATTTACATGGAAGGAAACCAAACTCGTTTTTTTCTTGCTTGCTTGCATCAATCACACGCATTCGCCATCAGATCACCACTGGCTATTTTACTCTGTTTACGCAGTTTAAATTATCCCACGCCTTTAAGAAAAGATTTACCTGGTGTTGCATCTTTTCCTCAGTTTTTGCATTCAGAACGCAGTCGTCGGCAAACAAGAGGTCCCTAACAACAGCCTTAGGGACTTTTTGTACAGCTTTAAGGCGGCTAGTTGAACAGTTCTCTATCAGTCTTGTATCTGGTTCGAATGCCTTTTCCCGCGTGGTCTTGAAAGGCATCTAGCAACATTGCTGAGAAAACCATGCTGAAGAGCAAGGTGTTCTGCACAATATTCCTCGACTGCAAAATGTATGTTGAAAGCTTAGCCTGTCAAGAGGAATGCTTTGGTGAAGAAAGAATAGAATACATATGGTACATCATGGATCACGAAACTTATGCTCCCCAACCTCCGGCCTCATTCTGCATTTTGCTTTTGCCGACAGCAATTAGCACACAGGTTAATGGGAAAACCACCTCTGCTGTGAAACATTCCTCCATACCTGCATGTAAATGGCAAGAAAGTGAATGCTACGCACTCTGTAATTGGTTTTGCGTAAAACACAGAGGTGCACGTATGACCTCACAGACGGACTGTTTTTTGGTTTGCTTGAAATTTAATTATCTTTTATTCATTCATTTTTAACTCTCATTTCCAACATGGCATATTGAGTTGAAAATTTTCGAAAAAATTTTAAAATCACACAAGTGATGGCCCTTAAGGAGCAGTGTATCAGGAAAGAAACTGCTTGCCAGGTAAAGGGAGCGAGGCCTTAGGAGCTGAACGGTCAATTTAATTTGTTTGTATTTACCACAAGGAAAGTGAGAGACAATGGTGGCCAAAGAAAAAAACGTGATGACATCAAAACAAATTATAAGAAACCACAGGAAACGTATGCGTGATTGTGCTTTATTTATCTAGCCTCAGGTTATTCACAAAGAGGAATTAGTGGAGGTTTTGTTATTTCACTTAAATCAGCCAACCAAAGCGTTACTAATACCAATACATGTGCGAGAGCAAATAGCGTGTCACAAACGCACGCGACGTCATTTTTATTCTGATCTGCTATGGGAAGTGAAAATTATATATGGACGTTGAGGGGGAGTGAAAGACCCTATGAGTAAAGAATGGACTCTAAAATGTACAATTTTCTTAACTGGAAAGGAGCCTCTAAATTTACCAATACGGTATTTACATCCAAAAAAACTGGTATTAGCTCATAAGACTTCACCTTGAAGGTGTCATGATCATCTTTAGATGATAACGGTTTTGTCTTTATTGCGTTTACTACGTTTTCAAGTGAATCAAAGGTTATTTAAAATTAAAGACCTGCATTAAGGCGTCTCCTGCTTCTCCAAAAGCCATTACCTTCCATCAGATTAAAGATCTCCTTAACCTTTCTAATACTGCGGTGTGACTAGTACGCTTTCACTGCACTCAGCCAAAACCGCTCTACTTTGGTTCAGTATCTCGTATCTGTCTTTGGACCATAGACTATATTTACTTAAAGTTACCATTTAAAGTTGGGCCTTTCCTGGGGACTCTCCTTCGTAATCTGTAAGTGAGTGGAGTCTGAGTCCTACGGCCTCTCCAGTCTTCCTTACAGTTTTACCGTTATATCGTTCATTTCAATATCGCAGTTGTCCCTTTCACATGGAAACTTGTGCCAGCGTTTCTGTGTCAAAATCTGTCCATCAAAATGAATCACAAGTAGTTTAAAATCGGAAAAAAAATTGAGAGTGAGTTGTTTGTTTGCTTGTTTGCTCTTTCTAGAGCTTTATTTCAATTTTAAGACTACCACCAATGTATTATTGCAAATGTTGAGTTTCTGTCGAGAATTACGGGGGATTCCTTTTGATTCTCATATTCTGCACCTTTCACAATGATAAATGCGGAACGAATGGTAATGACTATCAAACCTTACTTTTCCCAAGGCTGACCTACTAATAGCCAACTGATCAAGTTTGAAAACAAGCTAGAGCAAGGCAGCAAAGCAGAATAATTAATAATTTGGATATATCAACAAAGTTGAAATGGTGAATTGACCACCTTAACTATTACAAAAGCTGACGTTTGGAGCGTTAGCCCTTCGTCGCTCCGACGAAGGGCTAACGCTCGAAACGAAGGGCTAACCATTTTAACTTTGTTGATACATCCAGATTATTTCGTTAATCCCACCGACGCAGCCCCAAACAGTTCTTTTCGAAACTATCAGCCTTTATTCAGAATAATTAATACAAGCGTTTGCCAAATTCATTCATTTTGTTGCTGTACTGCTATGTTTTAAAAGAGTTAGTTCATGCCTTCGGCAATACGTAAAATCGAGTTTTTGATGTATTTGTAAAATTTGGAGACCACCCATAAAGTATTACAATTACTCTCGACTGCACCTCGATTAACTATTTCCATTGGCTGTATGGCCCCAAAACTTTAACGTAACTCATTGCACGCATGCCAAGCATGAACCGATTCAACTCTTTTGTAACAAGTACCGTTATTTCCTGCATGGAATTGACCATTGATAACAATCTGTCAAACTAGCGTTTAAAATTCTTGACCCATCTTGAATTCACACAAATACTAAACGAGTACCTGGCTGGAAGGCTTTGTTACCGTGCTATCACTTTTCTGATTGCCATTCGTCGCAGCGGAACCATCCGCTTCCTTTTCAACACGCCTACAATTTAACTGCAGATTTTGAAGACGAAGGTAGATTAGTAATATTGGATTTTTTAAAGGTGTCTCTACCCTAAAAATCGCTTAGGTCAAAAAAAAAGTTCATTGTGGGCTACACAGAGACGCAACTTGGTTTTCTTGAAAAATGAAACAAAGGTATCTCAAAGACCAATCAGAGCGAGGTAAACTCTACAAAGAGCTAGTGAGAATCTTAAAATGAAAACAAGACCGACTGCCTGAAGTATAAGTCAACACATTTGATCTTATTGCGATTGGTTTTCGAGTTTCATCTGATTTTATTTTTAAGTGCCTTGAATTCCAAAGACGAACTTACAGAGCGAAAATTTCCCATGTCGCATGTAATACTCGCACCACCAACTATTTTAGAAATTTGTAAAACTAGATCGATACCATCTAAACTCACTGATCTCACAACACTACATATTTTCAGATTGGCGGTGTATCTGGCATCTTTTTTTTTCAGATCTGTGTTTGAACACATCTTTCATTTGCTTTAAAAAAAACCCTCCATAAACCTTTTGCTGAAAATCCTTTTTCTGAGCTTTCTAACGCTTTACTTCACCCTCGATCTCGCTATAGGGGCAGACCCAATTAGAAAACAATTTTCTTGATCAGACTCCAGAAGCTAATCATTAGACATGTGCTCTTATTTTACACTTTTCTTTTTTTCTTCAGTTCTCTTCACCTGCCGGGGTCGACCGAGGCCTCGTCTCAGTTATTCTCGATGGTTGTTCATTCGGTTAAAATGGCAGCTTTGCTAATCACAAAGGCGTTTTGCGCACCTCTTCATAAATTAAATGCGACTTGACTTTAAGTGCACTTTGAACCTAACAAATTGCAACTTATTGTTTTGTCATGCCTTAAAAACCGTAGACCACTTTCCCCAAAAATTTATAGCGTGATAAATCCACTTGGAATGTTGGAAAGGTGTAAATCACACACCCTCTGATGAAATAGACGCTTGTATGGTGAAAATGTAGAAAATGTGATCTATAATCTACATCAGTCGCACAGCAAATATTGATTACTTCTTGATCCATTTTCTAGAAATCTAACATCATATTTCTTTAAGTAAAAAGATTAGCTTTCAAATTTTCATATAATTTCATCAGCTCATGACTCTTCTGTAGGAAAAAATTACTGGAGAGAGCCTTACAACGTTCCATCCATTTTTTTGCAACATTTGACACTCCTTCCTCAAATTTGACCACTAATAATTTCCTGAACGCCAGTTTTAACTGTCAGTTGTGGTTGGGAATGAGGATGGCCTCAATTTACGAGTGACTCTACTAATTATCAAAATGTCGATGGTCAAGGCACGTATTTGGGCAAATGTTTAAAGTGAGCATTGCTGGTATGGATAGATTTGAGACAGCGATTCTGGTATAAACAAAAGAGATCAATGGTGTTGTTTCCACGACACTTAACAGTTAACTCTTGTAAATCAGCTCCGAAAAATAAATATTCCACATTGCGTTTTTTAAGACAATAATTGTAAGGTGTTGAGGACTGCTTCGAAAGCAGGGTCCTCAACAGAAATGTTCATAGGTCAATCTTAAACTGGGAAAGTAAAGGTGTTTTTTCCCTTTCATAGAATGCAGAGCAAAGAAAACACTCTCAAACTGAAGTAGGACCAATTTATATTTCATATGGTTACCACGATTAGTCTCAAAATTATAGTAAAATTTTTAGTTCCTCCCGGGATAACTGTGTAATGTTTTGCATCATGAGTTCTTGTGCTTTGATATGACTGATTTATCACATGAGCAGCTCAGAAAATTACAAATATCTTGAATATCAATAAAACTGAGATACATTATAAAAATCAGTTTTGAAGATACAGCTCTCCAACTTTACAGTAGCCAACTCAAGTCGAATTGTTTTATTTAATAGTTTGAAAAGGAAAATAACCAGTATTTGCACAGTTTTTCGTTTAAGACGAGGAAAATTAAAAGAATGAACATAGGTACCTCTGTTTGATAATGTTTATTTTTCCAAAGCCTAACAGCCAATATTTTGATTGTTGCTAATATCCAACAATCCCCGAGAAAGTGGTTACATCAGTCAAGTCGATGATTCCGAAGCAGTTCTTATTTTACCATTAAACTGATATCGACAGCCACAAAAATTTCAAACGGTACTTTAATGCTTGCTTCCAATGTCTAATAAATGCTACCAGTTTTATCAAAGGACGGTATTTTCCGAATAGAAGCTAAACGAGGCCATCAAACATTTACAGATGACTTCGAAACTGATAATCTGTCTTTGCCCTACGACCCTTCTAACTCCTACTTGGAGTTTACTATTGCTGCAGTAAGATTTTACTCTTTACAATTTATTTGATCAAATAATTTTTCAAGGCTTTTGCTGTCAAATTGATTGCGCGCACCGTGATCGCTGCAGTTCTTACAAACTGGATATATTATTATATAATATGAATTAGCCTTGCTTCACATAGATATACCTCGTCAATGCTTCTGAAAATCGTTATCAATGATAAATGAAGATTATTAGAGTTGAAATTTACACTTAAAGAAGACACTCTGCAAGCATATCAAATTAGATAACTCAACTTACTTTTGCCAAAACCAATTTAAAAGCCACCGACCATAAATTTCGAGAATCCGCAGAAATTTGCAAAATTCGCAATTCATTTTTTTCCCAAGGGACCCTTGCGATAAACCTTTCTCAAAAAATTATATCAAAAAGTTCTATCACGCTTTCCTTTCTCCGAAAAAATCGAAAAGTTCAAAATACACTGAGATGACCGTTGTCTCCCCCGTAAAGCAAGTTATAGAGCCAAAGCCACGAAAATTTTCAGTCATGGTCAGCGTTTCGACAAGATACTTATCCCGTTCAATGAGCATCCTGACAAGTTGATATCTGAGTCGCATCTTTGTGCTGGTCTATAAGCTTCAATTTAGGTCAATAGCACTTGCAAAATTATTTTTGATGAGAAGATAGCTATAACATTTGGTTACGTCCCAAACATGACGAGGCTCACTACAAGAATGAAGGTACAAACTATCGCTTAATCGCCAAACGTTTTTCTCGGTTTGGGAATTGTTAGATGGAATGCAAACACGTCACCGGAAATGAAGTGTAAACTCACATTGCACCCTCTGCTGCAAAATCAAATACATTAAGTACACCATAAAATATTGTGCATAAGTATACATACCGAACGGATAACAATTATCAAGATAAACAGTAGTACAATGCTTCCATTTACAGATATTACAATTATCCACTTTTGAAGTCCTGTTGAGTAAACAAAGCACTATCCTTAATGACTAATGTTCGATTTTGAACCTTTACCTTTTATAAATAAATAAATAAATAATAAAATAAATAAATAAATAAATGATTTAACAATGGACATCCACTGGGTGGCTATTCTTGTCCACTGTTCCAGATCGAATTGGAATTTGGAATGTTGGTTTTTGCGGAGGGAGGAAAACCGGAGGACCCGGAGAAAAACCCTCGGAGCAAGGACGAGAACCAACAACAAACTCAACCCACATGAGACGCCAGGTCCGGGAATCGAACCCGGGCCACAGTGGTGGGAGGCGAGTGCTCTCACCACTGCGCCATCCCTGCTCCCCTCAATATATATTGTTAGGGCTTGCATATGATTACAATTGATATGATCCAGCAATGCAAGGATATCGCGCAAAATCAGTGCATGCCACGTGATAAATACATCTTTCGCCGTTGATTCTTTGCAGATTGGCTGCGCGTTTTCAAATGTATTTCGCTAAGGACGACTCCCAGTTATGAAGCAGTCTATGGAAAAGTCATGAGACCAGATACCTTTTTAGGGTGTAATATC